CCCCATAGGAGCCTTTGAATTCAGTTTTTTGTCTCTCCTGCAAAATTTACGAAATCGGAGTTGGACGGTTAGAATTCTCCGCCGACGACATGTTCCCTACAACTCTATTGGTTGACTCTTCGAGCCTCACTTTAAGTTTACTTAATCAAAGCTTGTGACTGCTTATGGAATGGCCCGATAGGGGCGAACAGGCTATTTCTGTGGCAATGAAACGGTTTTGAAGGTTAGACATAGTCTATTGTTCATTGGTGATTATGAACGTCTTTTTACATTTGATTTATGAGGTTTTCGTCTATGGGTGAATTTGACTGCGACAATGTTTCAAAATTAGGAAGGGTGTAACAAAGTGAAGCCAGAGGGCTCATGGCTCGTAAATGCCAGGTGAAACTAGTACCCTGGACGCTGCTACTGGCGGGAGGAGCGTAATTGCAACTCGTATTGTTGGACACACCACTGTCCAGGTTTACATCTCGCTGCCACCCGCGCGAGAAGCGTAATTACCAACTGGACGCCACCACCCAGGGCGGCATCCCGTAGGACAGGGAACCTTAGAGTGGGGCGTATCTATAACACCTTGCTGCCTCAAAATCCCTAATTTGTAAGAACACGTAGAACGATATGTAGGAACGTCTCTTACGCATTAATTGTAGACGCGGGAGAGTGCACAAAGATTTGGAGCGTTCAAAGCCCATACGTTCTTGGGAACTGGGGAAAGAGGATACAATAATCCAGAAGGTACCTATAGAAGTTTGAATAATCAAAGTGGGATCATTACGACGCTGGGGCCTTATATACCGAGGATCCGAAGAGTTTGCAGTAAGTTTTAGTTAGTTTTTAGATTCGAACGCAGATCAGGGTTAGGAGAGACTAGCGTAGACTAGAGTACTGAGAGGACATAGAGGTAGGAGCTAGACCAGGTTAGGCGAAGGATAGTGATAATATTCTTGTACACTGCTAGATAGTCGTCTGTTCGACAAATGTTATAACCAGTGTTTCAGGAAATAGTAGTTACCCTTCTGTAGATTATAGGTCCTCGAAGCTAGTAGCATGTTTTGTAAACGTCATACATTCCATTGTTGTTGATGATTAAATATATTCAAAAATATTACAGCGTGAAGTTTTCTTGTCATCTTTGACATAACCTATACGATCACGTGTCAGAGCGGTGTAACCAGTATAAGTACAACAACACCTTTTTGATACTGTTACTGTGTTACAAGGGAAGCAGTGATTATTTGATTATATAGACGCTTCGCCTCTGTAGAGAGAGAGAGGGAAGGGGGGGGAGAGAGAGAGAGAGAGAGAGAGAGAGAGAGAGAGAGAGAGAGAGAAAGAGAGAGAGAGAGAGAAGTGGGGGACAGAGAAAGAAAGTGGGGGGAAAAGAAGAGAGAGGGGGAGGGAGAGAGAGAACGAGAGAAAGAAAGAAAGAGAGGGAGGGAGAGAGCGAGAACAAGAGAGCAAGAGAGAGAGAGAGAGCTAGAGAGAGTGCTAGAGAGAGA